TATATTGGGGTTATATATAGGGACAATCAATGCAAAGAACATGGAAACTACTATAGTATATCTGGGTTACATGTAGGGATAATTCATGGAAAGAGAATGGAAACTACTATAGGGGGAAGCTAGCAATTTTATTGCACGCCTGCTGGGGCTGCATAGCGCTTCTCTATGGCTTTATGACTATTGGTTTCTCCCCGGGGCTTAGTATAAGCATGATCTCCCAAAAGGGGCTACAAAGGAAAACCCCACATTAGGTAATCCCACCCACGAGCAATCAACTAGTATCTACCTAAATCCCTAGATCCTAGACCCTAAACCCTTTCGTATTCAACTCAAGGTTACTCATCCTCAGATGGCGGCCGGCGGATAACTTGAAACATGATAGCCCCAGGCCTCCGCCAAAGGGGCGTCCGAATGCAGAGCCAGTGCCCACCTTACCTGGGGACAACCTTATTTGGGGGGGGGGTTCCGAAAATTAGGGCCCTGTTTTTGGGGTGCCCATAACAAGGACTATATATGGAAACGACCATCTTTTAACGAGTCTTCCTGATGGTCAGGGCTTAGGGTCCAGGGGTCAGGGACTCGCAGTTGTGGTGGGAATGGAGTCTTGGGTCTAGGGATATGCTGACGCTGAGGGTTTGGAAGTAAGTGGGCTCGGGGTGGGCGCGCTGGGGGGCTTTCAACCCAGATTATGTGTTCAAACAAACCATATTCCTGATACAGCTTCATCGTGCAGTCCTAGGCTTTTTAACGTGAGCCTTGATCCTTTGAACAGTGCCAATGCGGAAGCCCAAGTGGTTGGCAGTGCCATACGCTTTGAGCTTTGTTCCCCACATTCATCCCTATGGTCTATGGTGCTTTCCCTTACATTGCTGAGGGCCCATGACAACACCTTAGAGCCCTCCAAGTCTGTCCCGCCTTATATCCCTTGCCCATACTCCATAAAGCCTGTTCCCTGATTCCTTACCAGCCCCGGGGAGAATTGCTGCAGGCAGATACTCGTAGC